GATATATACAGATATGCCTTTATTTCTGCATCTGTATTTATGAAAATTCATTGGGTCGGGCTGGCACACAAAATTAACAAACACGAACATATGTGCAAAAAAGTTACTACTACAGAAATTGAGTTCAAAGTTTTTTTCAACAAATGTAAAATCCCTAACATTATGATACTCCTTGCCACATCTCAGCATCGGGAAGAAATTAGATCACATGAATTTGAGACGAAACAGGCACTGGTACACTGACCTCAGATACACATAGAACTCAAAATGGACAAATTGGTGGTTAATCCGGTACGTGAAAAAAGGGACTAATTGCTATATTGGGAACTTCGCGCGAGTAATGTGGTAGGTTGTCCAGTACTTAGTTACAGGTACACGCAACGGTGATAATGTGCTATGTGTGGAACTTCATAAATACAAGAATATACGAGTACTGTACATACACGTACATGCATATATAACCATTATGTGTAAGTGTGGGCGTGTAAATGGGTGATTGTGGTGTGTGGTGGATTAAGTGAGTGGATTTGTTTATCACCGTAAGTCTCGTGTTAGGTTCTTAAAAGCGAATCCTTGAACTGGATTTTATTTATTTATTTTATGTATTTTTTTATTGTTATTATTTATTTTATTTATTTATTATTTTTATTGTTATTATTTATTTTATTTATTTATATTATTTATTGTTTATTATTTATTTATTATTATTTATTATTATTTATTTATTTATTATTTTTTATTGTTATTATTTATTTTATTTATTTATCATTTTTTATTGTTATTATTTATTTTATTTATTATTTTTTATTGTTATTATTTATTTTATTTAGTATTATTTTTATTGTTATATTTATTTATTTATTTATTATTTTTTATTGTTATTATTTATTTTATTTATTTATTATTTTTTATTGTTATTATTTATTTATTTTTATTTATTATTTTTATTGTTATTATTTTATTTTATTTATTTATTATTTTTATATTGTTATTATTTTATTTATTTATTTATTTTTTATTGTTATTTATTTATTTTATTTATGTATTTATTTTTTCGTTATTATTTATTTTATTTTATTTTATTTTTCATTTTTGAAGAGACTTACTTTTATAGGCCTATGGCGATGCGGGTCCTTGTAGCGCAGCCAAAGTAAGGCCGAGATGGACAGGAAGACGAACAAGGACTCGGCGAAGGACACATAATTGATCAGCACCAACGTGTCAGAAGTCACGAGCATACATAGCGTCATAAAACCCTGCAAAATGCCAAGGGATAATGTCATAAAAAACAAAAAAGTTTGATCAGTTCTATGTCATATTTATCAGTTCTTGTCATATGCCAATAATGTCATAAAAATGGGAATGTCATATGCCAAGGGATAATGTCATAAAAACGTTTGATCAGTTCTATGTCATATTTATCAGTTCTATGTCATATGCCAAGGGATAATGTCATAAAAACGTTTGATCAGTTCTATGATCATCTATGTCATATAATTCATAAACGTTTGATCAGTTCTATGTCATATTTATCAATGTCATATGCCAAGGGATAATGTCATAAAAACGTTTGATCAGTTCTATGTCATATTTATCAGTTCTATGTCATATGCCAAGGGATAATGTCATAAAAAAAACGTTTGATCAGTTCTATGTCATATTTCACGGATCGTTTTTTAAGGAAATGAGATCTGAGGTTGCAATTTGATTTCTGATCTTAGGGTATTTCAAAAAGTTTAGTTCATTTCAGTTTTTCACGGATCGTTTTCTGAGGAAGAAATGAGATCCAAGGCTGCAATTTGATTTCTGATTTTAGGGTATTTCAGTGGTCTAGGATGTCTTTTCTTTTCTCAAGTTATCCATCAGGAAGACAATACTTTGTTACGTTGCTTGTATTTCATATGGTCAAAAATAGTATTACTAAGAGAAATTGCTACGGTTTTACGGCAATGAAGGGACACATTACGAATAAACAGGGAAAAAAATAACACCATAGCTATCTACGGCAAAACGTTACCGCAGAAATTAGCAAAGGAGAAAAGGCATTTGACCAGACCAACCAAGTCACTCATCCGCTAAGCAAAGGCCAACAGAGAGATACATTACCAATAACACTAGGGCAGGCAACAGAAAAATACATTACCAAGAACACGGGGGAAAAAAAGATAAATTACCAAAAATACGGGGGCAAAAAACAACGGAAAAATACATTGCCAAGAGAAGGGGAAAAAAAAAAAAAAAAAAAAACGACAACAGAAAAATACATTAACAAGAACACGAGGGCAAAAACCAACAGAAAAATACATTACCAGACGAAGGCAAAAAAAACCAACAGAAAATACATTACCAAAAACACACACAAAAAAAAAAAAAACAACAGACAGATACATTACCAAGAACACGAGGGCTGGAACGGGGGTGATGGTGTGCACGTTAATGAGCGCCAGGGCCTGAGGAAGGTGCCCCTCCCTCGCTCCCACGAAGAAGAGGCGAGAGCAGGCGAAGATGCAGCCGTTGAGACTCCCGAAGGTGGAGAGGGCGACGAAGATGGGCATGACCCAGTTCAGCACACCAAGGGCTCGGCCGGCAAAGGACTGTGGGTGGTGTTATAGGTTTTCTTAAGAAAGTACACTCTGTGCTTTCTTTTGCGACGGGAATTTGAGTGTGAAATAAAGTTTGAACTTTCAATCGTACGTGGAATTGATTGTACTCTGAAGTTAAAACTCGAGAATTTCCTGAAATACATAGCAAGGCTACTATATCCACAGCATTTGAGTAGAATGATTAGCGAACCTCCTCTGTGCATAAATTCAGTGCTAGATACTTGCGTACCTTTAAGCTAAACATTTTATAGGGTCCGGGAAAATGTTGTAGGTTCCTTATAATTGTTTTCATGGCTTCTCTGCGCTTAGTTAGGCCTTTATAACGCATTCAGGTGGTATTCAGACACAGAAAAAGAAATGCTAAATGGCAAAAGCTATTCTTGGTCACTGGCAACAAATGGTATTATATAAAGCAGCTCTGCCTTTAGCTACAAACATATTCTACTAAGATCCCATTCTAACAATCATTCTGTAGGTCTACCTACCACCCACATTCGATTCAATAGGCCACTTTGTTAAGATTGCGCGAGGCCCGACCCAATGAATATTTGTATATACAGACACGTATATACATACAAATAAAGGCATATCTATCTATCTATCAGACACATATATAATCTCTATCTAGACGGTAGATATGCATTTATTTCAGTCTATATGCATGTCCATATAATGAATATTTATTGGGTCGGGCCTTGCACAAATTTAACAAACCGGCCGAATATAGTTAGTTTTGGATTAAAAGGAATGTGACTGACGCATTTGACGTATTCTGTTCAAAGGCTCATGATTAGCTTTCTATCACCTACAGAAGACTCAAAAAACGACTTTGTTTACCAGAAGACTTCGCGAGAACAAGGCCTTCGAGTGTTAACCTCGTTATAAAACCAGACCTCGTATAAAACCTCTTTTTTACAGTGACAGCCCCTTGTGAAGTTGAATGCCTACTCCCCCAGCATAGTCTATCTCCTCAGTGCTTCGTATCTCGGTACGTAGGGGCTATTCAGTGACTCATAGCGTGTGTGTGTGTGTGGGGGGGGGTACGGTAATCAAGGGTTTGATTGTTTGTTATAGCTACATGGTATTGTTTTGATTTGTGAATGTAGTGCAAGTAAACGCAGTGGCTAAAAGTTTTTTGTTTTTTTCTTCTTTTTTTTTCTTGTTAAAGGTATATGCAATAACAATAAAAAGAAAGTTACGTTTTCAATGACCAGTCTTCGAATGAATGGTGATTATTATCATTAACATCTTTGTCACCATTATCATCATTAAACAATTATTTTGGTGCGATTCCCACTGATAAACACAAATAAGAAATTAAGAAAAAAGACACAGAGACAGAAAGAAAGACAGTATAAAAGTGAAAAAGTAAGAAATAATACAAAAAAAAGAAAAACAGAAAAAAATAAAGAAAACAAAAAGCAAAAGACGACAAAACAAATAAAACCAGATAAAAACACCAACGAAAAAGACAAACCAATACACACACACAAAAAAAATTACTCACCAGCGCCACAGCCTCGGACGCCAGCACCTCATCAGGCTCGAGGACCACGAAATAGGCCATATTGGTGAGGAAATAAATTAATGTGACAATGGGCATGGAGATGAGGATCGCCCGGGGGAGGGTCCTGTGGGGGGGGAGGGGAGTCAGTTTGAGCTGTAACTTTTTTTTTTTTTGCTTATCAGTTTTGTTATTATTGTTATTGTTATCGATTTTATTATTGTTATTGTTATCGTTTTTATTATTGTTATTATTTTATTATCGTTTATTATTATTATTATTATTAATTATTATTATTATTATTGCTTATTATATTATTATTATTATTATTATTATTATTATTATTGTATATGATATTATATTATTAATTATTTATTATATTATTATTATTATTATCGTATTATTATATTATTATAATATATTATTATTATATTTATTATTATTATTTGTATATTATATATATATATGTTTATATACTATTATATGTATATATATATATATATATATATATATATATATATATATATGACATATATAATATTATATAATGCATACCACACACAAACACACATCACACACACAACACAACACACACACACACACACAGCACACAATATATATATAATATATATTATATATATATATATTATATATATATACCTACTATACCCATACTATATATACTATATATGTAGACATAATTACTATACAAAGGAACCCAACTAGGCCAAAAATGAATAATGAATTAGATAAGATAACGATAAAGCAAAAAAAAAAAATATTTATAAAAAAAATCTTAAGACTTACTTAAACGGATCCTTTAATTCCTCGACGACAAAGTTGAGGCAGTTCCTGAAAAAATATTATTCAAGATCATAATTAATTTAACATTGTAGGCAACAAATACGTTGTGATAGATAATTACTTTGATAGCATGGCAATAAAATTATAATGGCGACGGTTTATCAGTTGGATGTAATTATCACTTAATTGGCTACAATAGTTACTCTATCAGGCTGTTTACTAATTATATAAACCAACTAATTTGAGTTTAAATAGTGTACATAATTACTATAGTAACAGATTAAATTACTATTTGTATAAAACCCAAATTTGATTTTATATAATGTACATAATCACTATGTAAACAGATTAATTACTATTTGTATAAACCACCAAATTTTGATTTTATATAATGTATATAATCACTATGTAACATCAAATTTACCATTTGTATAAACCAACTAATTTGATTTATATAAATGTACATAACTATGGTAACAGCAAATTACTAATTTGTATAAACCACAAATTTGATTTTATATAATGTACATAATTACTATGGTAACAGAGCAAATTACTACTTATAGAATGATCGTTAAAATGTGACCAGTCCACGCATGCGCAGACAAAGTATTGTGAAGGTTATGTTAACCCTTTATATATTACGTTCTGGAGACAGACGTGTATAACCGTGTACTCAAATTGATAAGGGAAATGTGTGTGAGTGCATCAATGTATTTGTGGTGGTGGTGGTGGTGGTGGTGGTGGTGTGGTGTGTGTGTGTGTGTGTGTGTGTGTGTGTGGTTGTGTGTGTGTGTGTGTTGTGTGTGTGTGTGTGTGTGTGTGTGTGTGTTGTGTGTGTTTGTGTGTGTGTATGTGTTTGTGTGCATGTGTGTGTGTGTGTGTTTTTCGTATCATATTTTATTGTTCATGCTGTAATAGACGATAATATCTGTACATATAAATAAATCATTCACATGTATGTGTTCGTATATGTCTATCTGTATATGCATGTATCTATGTACGCACATGTGTGTGTGGATGTACATATATGTAGATCTATATCCGTAAATGAATGTCCATATATGTAGATCTATTTCCGTATATAAATGTCCATATGGTCGAAAAAATTATCCGTATATAAATGTACATATATATAGATCTATATCCGTATATAAATGTCCATATATGTAGATCTATATCCGTATATAAATATGTATATATGTAGACCTATATCCTTGTATGAATGTCCATATATGTAATCTATTTCCGCTATATTCGTATATAAATATTGTAGATCCTATATCTATATGTAAATGTCCATATATGTAGATTTATATCTTATGTAAATGGTCCATATATTGTAGATCTATATGTAAATGTCCATATATGTAGATCTATATATATGTAAATGTCCATATATGAGATCTATATCTATATGTAAATTCATATATGTAGCTATATGTAAAAATGTCTATGTAGATCTATATGTAAATGTCCATTATATGGTAGATATATGTAAATGTCCATATATGAAGATCTATATCTATATGTAAATGTCCATATATATGTAGATCTATATTCGCATATAAATATCCACATTGAAATATCATTCTACTGAGGACAACAAGTCAACACTCTCGTACCAGCCGGCAAAGGAGAAGAGACCCTGGTAGAAGGCTGTACAGATGGAAGTAATGCTCCAGTTGGTGCCATCAAAGGCATCCTGGTAGTTCTCGACGTGCCCATCGCACAGCTGATAGATGCCCGCGACTATGATGATGATGAGAGAGCCATAATTTTAGCTGCGGTGAAGATTCCTTGGACTTTCGTGGCCCATTTCACGTTCGAACAGTTCACCCAGGTTAGGAAGCCTGTGGAGGGGATCGGGGGGAAAGGATGTTAGCCTCTGGTCATATCATTGGTGTTTATGAAGTTTATATAAGTTTGGTCTTATATTTGGTGTTTATTAAGTTATATTAGCTTTTGGTCTTATATTTGGTGTTTCTTAAGTTTGTTTTTAATTTATGGTCCTATATTTGGTATTTTATGAAGTTTGTGTGAGCTTTTTGGTCGTGTTAAGTTTATATAGCTTTTTGGTCTATATTTTGGTGTTTATTTAAGTCTTTTGGTATATTATTTGGCTGTTTATTTTAAGTGTATATTAGCTTTTGGTCATATATTTGCGTGGTTTATTAAGTTTGTATTTCATCCGAGATGGCTCAATATTACGTTGACCGTTAACATTCAATAAAATGATATTTACTTTTCATTAACATTTATGACGATGAAAGAAGTGACAATGAACACGCTTTCAATAACATATTTTACAATGTAATACAGTACAGTTAATCTTCAATAACATTTAGCACTTATTACACATCTTTAAGTAATCATCTAGTAATGAATATTAGCTTTCAAAAGTACATATTTAGTACACGAATAATACAGCATTGTCCCCATCAGAAAAAAAAACGTGTGCAGAACGCTTTGTTGTGTCGTCAAATTGATATATTTACACAAGATAAAACTCCAGTAAAATAATCCACTTGTTTCTTAACTAAATCACAATAATAAAAGCTAGCACCGAACACGCATTTACCATCTGAA